TAATCAACTCATGATCTTACTTGTAATACCCAATTGAACATAGTTATGTTAGTGCAAATAATACCCAAATATTTCTGTTTTTCTGTAAGTAATTTAGCAAACTTCAGAGTAGTTTTCCTTCCATGATGATTCTGGAATTAGACACTGTGATGGTTAAAAGCTTCCACACAGCACAGTGTCCATTATCTGTGGCTGGTAAAGCTGATCCATGTCTAAATGAATGAGTGAGGACAGGGTTGTAGAGTACCGCTCTGCTTCCTCTTGTGGAGCTGCATTAGCTCACTGCATCACTAATTTCCCCCACACAAGCTAATGTTACATTGGTCGATGGTCATGAGGATGATGCACTCTTCCTAATGCATAGAATGAAAGGAAGCATTACTGGGCGAGGGCCAGGGTGGGACAGAGGGAGCTGAGGGTCAGGAAAAGAAATGGCACAGGGAGGGTGAAAAAGGAGATGAGATTGAGAGGGAGAAGAATGTCTGTTACAGAAATTAAGTTATCTCCCCAAAGTGATTAACATGTTATTACCAGCATGCAGAGCAAAATAAGTGCCTATCTGGTTGTGGAGACACTCATGTCTTTGGGGGTTTAAGTGATGGAGGTGGCCTCAGCCGGTTTGGTGGATATCTGGTTGTCATTTTAATAATGATAATAACTTAGCTTATTTAGCACTTTTCAAAAAATGAAACAAGACAAATTGCCAGATAAATAGATAAAAGTAGAATTGATGTAATGATAAGCGAGGTATGAAATACTAAAACAGTTCACATACATAAAGCAAAATGAAAGATTAACCTGATCAAGAGAAAGCAATTCTTAAAAAGTGTGTTTTTAAGAGAGATTTGAAAGAAGTTACAGAGCTAGCATGCCTGATCTACTCCAGAAGGAAGGTTGTAGGCAACGCCTAAAATAAAGATATATACTTGACCTAAATTCACTCAGGGTTAGGTTTAGGAAAAGAAACATGGTGAAGATGTACCTTGAAATAACTCAGAGTTCATTTGGTTTCTCATGTTTCTGAATGCCAGTCTCCTGGGGCAAAGTCCTATGTTTTGTGACCAATCCACCACCCCAACCTGCCTCTTTATAAACCACTTCCTTCTTTACTCCCATCAGCACATTGGTCACATGAATGCAGCCTTCTCGATCATGTGGGTTACGCAAAAGTTACCAACTCATGATTATGTGGGTGATACGAACAGCCTGTTGCAGGTCAACTCTTCAAAAATGTCCACAAATGACAGCTAACAAATACATTAGTCGGATTCATTTTAATGCTGTTTTGATTTCAAAATAGATCATTACAGATCCAATACTTACGTTCCCCACGGATGATATTCCAATTAAAAGTGACAGAGGTGAGAATAAAAAACATCCTTCACTAAAACATGCTAATCGTTTACCCAAAAAAATGAATATCTCTGGGGAAATTACAGCAAAATTGAAGTCATTACATTTTCATCTTATCAAAAAGTGTTTAGGGTTATTTGTGGGTGTGTGTGTGTGTGTGTGTGTGTGTGTGTGTGTGTGTGTGGAGGTGAATCACAAATATGCTTGCCTTTTTTAGCTTCAGCAGCTACACAGCACAACTAAAGTGTTAACTAAAGTAAAAAAAAAATAATCAAACGGTTGTCGTGTCTTAGACGTACATCAGCATCAGTCAACATCTGGAATCATATATGAGTCATTTGGGCAGGATGAGCTCTTAGATCATTAGCCAGGTGGAGACAGTGGAGAGATGCTAATGTAAAAGTAAGTGGGTGAGGTATTTAAAGGATGTGTGTTTCCAGGGATGTGATGAGTCAGTAACGGGTACTCTGTTCCTGCCATTAAGATCTAAACTGTTTTAACTGTTGCAACAGATGCAATGAAAATGCTTCGAGGCAGCTTGGTGGCTTTGCGGTTAAAGGGGATATAACTGAAAAGGCACAGTTAAAGTCTAAATTAATCTTCCTTATTAATTTTCAAAGCATGTATGTGTAAGGCAAACGTGAGTCATGAGGACTTGTGAATTTACAACACACATACTGTACCGTATGCAGACACACACACACATTAAATGAGATACAGCTCACACCCTGCATCCTTACCTCAGCATGTGTGTCACACTTATCTTCTCACGTGTACACACACACACACACACACACACACACACACAGAGGACATGCTAATGAGATGCAGGAACACATTAGGCTTGTAGGTCAGAGGGACGGGCCACTTGGTCTGGCTCATAGTTAAATAGTTTCTTAATCTCTTATTACACCAGAGAAAGGATATTTACCAAGAGGCATGGAGAGATAAGTGTTAGCTCAGAGAAGTGATAACACATGATTGATTTTTTTTTTATCTTGCATACCTACAGTAAACAAACATTTAATGAACTCAGCAAAGACTGAGAAGGAGAGACATCTGCGGGAGGATTTAGCAGTGTAAACACATTCCTCACGGAGTCAGATAAGCCTGGCGGAGAGACGCAGGCAGCATCACTTCAGCTACTCACTGAACACACACGTCGAGGTTAACTGCTCTCACCTATCCTCCTCTGTCGGTAGCGCAACCAGTGTGACACACATATACACACATGATGGACTGTCTTGAGTTATTTATGCGACTATAAGAAGCAATACACCTCATTTTCTTTCCTTCTCTCTCTCCTGCACACAAACACAGAGATACACACTTCATGGCCTAATTGCAAACATATCCGGCATCATCCCTCACCCAGCGTACACATCCATCTCCTCACTGCTTCATCTTATCTTCCCCTGTCCTTTCTCCCTCTTCCTCCTGCTATGTCTCTCTGTGTAATTTGCACTTTCCTCTGTTCTTTTCTCCACTCCAACTTCCATATTTCTTTCTCTCTACTCTCCCTCCCTCTCTGTCATTTACTCCGTCTCCTCCTCTTTCCATTCCTATTCCCCAGACAGACATTATCTAAAGGAATGGCGATTGATTTGCTTCAACCGGCTTTCTTCCATCTCTGTTGTTCTCTCAAGGATGTTTCTCTTATCTCCACATTTCCATAATGGCAAGAACACATTCCGTCTTCCTCTTCCCTGTCCTCCTCCTTTGACTGTACATGTCCTTGTAAGGTCCCTTACCTCAGCTTTTACCTTTCTGTCTCTGTCTTTTTACCTATTTCAGGTTAATGTGAATTGATCCAGCTTCTCTCTCCTCTTTCTTCTTCCTTCTTTACACTTTTTCTCTCTGAGACTTTGCGCTGTAAGGCAGCAATGCTGATACACAGAAGGATACGGGTCTTATTTTATTGCTGATCCAAAGTATCTGAGAGTCCACACAAGTTCTTTAATCCATATTAAGAGCAAGAGCTATGTGGCATGTGTCAGAATTGAAAGCAAAGTATCTTGACTTTACAGTATGCTTTTTTGACACATAAAAGGAAAACTTGTAAAGCAGAAGTGCCATTAGTACATGCTTTGTTACCCACTTAATCTCCTCTCTTTCTCTCCCTCTCTCTCCCCTCATCCTTCTCGCCTTCACTCAGCAGGGATCTGACGACGAACGTCCATCAGCAAAAAAAACTTAGCAAACACAATTCCTTCCCCTCAGATGAAGTACTTATTTCTGGATGAAGCACTTTTGGAAACTTTGGCCCAGAACCAAAAATAGCTTCTGTACTGTAGCTGCCTCTGACAGATGAAAGTACCAATGACATATTTTATTCGTGGAATTTAAAGTTTCTCATTTTCTTTCTAAAAGTTTCTGGCAGGGAGAGTTTAAATACTTTGTCTATTCTTCATCCATCTTCTGTGCTCTTTCTCGGTCTTATCCCCCCCTCCTTCTGTCAGCCTCTCCTCCATCTGTGCCCTCCCTCGCTCTCGCAGTGCCTCCTGATCCTCTCCTCTCCCTTTAGTCCCATTAGTTATCTCCTGATGGGTCATTAACTATTAAACGCCAGATAGAGGGGAAGGAAGACGAGGAGAAGAGGGATGCTCTGTGAGGTTTGTGTCTAGTTTGCAATAATAAATGGACATTAGGGGGATGACAACACGGAGAGAGGAAGCAGGAGAGGAGGGTGGGGCAGGTCCAGAGGGTCTCTTTCTCTTTTCTGTAATGATAAGTGGAAGTCAGCAGGGAAAGAGAGGAGAGCAGTGCTGCTGCTTTCTGTCCTATAGGATAAGGCATACTGTACTTATAGAAAATCAGAGAGGAGAGTCTGAGATCTACATTAACATTTTGAAAATTGCCAGAAAAGCAACAGATTTCAGACCATTATAGAGGCTGCTTTTTCCTCTTCGTAGTCAGTTCACATCCAAAATGCAGCTCTACTTCTTTCCCTTGGGAAATCAGTGCCAGGCCCTCTCATCCAGTCTAGCTTAAGAAGATCTTTGGATGATCCAGAGACACTGAAGCCCTCAGATGACACCAAGCTCAGAGTCTTCAATGTCTACCAAATCACAGATGCCATACTGTAAATTAAAATTAGTAGGATTCTGCTTCCACCTAGTGGTCAAACATGGAAATGGTTAATTATCCAAGGAATGTACACTGAGCAAAATTAAAAATGCAACACTTTTGGTATTGCTCCTGTTTTTCTAATACTTTATTGTGCACAAAAAAGACTTATTTCTCTCAAATTGTCAGTGAGTGTTGCTGGAGGTGGAGGCCCTGAGCTGGCAGAGTTGCACATGGTATGCAGTTGTGAGGCCAGTTGAATGCACTGCCAAATATTCGTAAACAACATTGGAGAAGGCTTAAAGCTCATTTATGCTCAATGTATGGAGACACAGATGGAGCCATCTGTTGGTACTGTGTGTTCATTTCGTCCATATGTGTGCATGCTTTCTAAGAGTTTACAGATACAGACACAGATTTTAACTAATTTGTGACCAAAATTTGAGAGACATAAGTCTTTTGTGCGCATAAAAAGTCTTAGATCTCCCTTCTCATGAATATAACAGCCTTAAATTTAGATTCTCTGTCAGCACAGTCTACCTTTAATCCAAATATTGATGCCTCTGTGTGTCCATCTTCAGACTCTCTGATGTTGGGAACAGAGGTTGATCTGCAGCGGGTGGAAAACAGCGTGTTCGCCATGGAGACGGTATTTAAGGTTTGGCTTCAAGAGCAAGCAGGAGACAGAGAGCACCTGCATCTCCTGCTGCCCAACCCTCTGGACAGTCCCATTCCAGGTACAGGTGCTACACAAACATGACATAGAGATACAGATGGCATGTTACCGTACTATCCACTATCTTTTTACACTATTTTTTTATAACATTTGTCACCTGTGTAGTGTGTGTGAAGTGTGACATGCAGGAGCGTCTGATAAGCCCAGCCCTCATCCCACTGAACTCCAACCTCGGAGTGAAGACTGAGAGCATCCGGGACTTCCTGCCTGCCACTAAGGGATCAGCCAATCAGAGCCAGCAGCCGCAGAGACTGAAAGCAGTCAAGTAAGAGACAGGGCTTTTTAGTAAAGCCAGATGCATTGAAAAGTCACCTTCTGTTGTTTTCAACTCAGATAGATCCACATGCTTTTTGAGCTTCACATGAATGGAATAACAAAATACTAGTGCTGCACATTCAAACACAACATGGAAGTGTAATCTATTTACGCTGATGATGATCGCTTGGCAACAAGCAAAATCTGTGATAGAAAACAAGATGAACACCTTAAAGGGAGTGTCTAGATATGTCTGCCTTTACCATCTTTCCAGCCCCATCCATGCTTCCTTGTTGGAGTAACGGAGAGATTAAGCATGTGTATACGATTATGTGTGCATGCTCCATTAGCCATGTGTGTGATGTTGTGCATGTCCAGTAAAACTCTGGCCTGTGTATGAATGGCTCCATTCTGACAACAGGGAGTAGTGGAATATTTCTTAGATGAAACTCTCCCATCACATCAGAGTCTGCTTTGTTCTGCTTCGATGCTGGAAAACACTCAAAACAACTGGAGCTGGGCAGAAAAATTGCTTCGTGCTTAAAAGCGAGTCGACATGTTCCCTCAACTTGTTTGTGAAGAGATGTTTTTATTCTCATACAGTAGGAACTCATGAGACATGGTCACAGTGGTAACCAAGGACAGGGCAGGGACTCAATATAAATAGGAAATATAACTGGCTACAGGGAATGAAAAACAAACGATTATTGTAAATATTTTATCAGTCACTAAAGCCTCATTCTACTTACCAGCAGGCACAAACACTGATTCATTTTTATTCCAGTTTTCTTTATGCACAATCTAACACAGATAATGGTTTGCTGACTATAATGTCCTTATATTGTAGTGTGTTTCCTTACAGGACAAGCAGAGTGTGGCAGAAGGAATTTAAAGTTATTCTAATGGAGCACTCATTATAAATGGCCTTGGACTTATGCCTTAAATGCCTAAAATTTAAATGGACATATTTGTTTGAAACATACCTGGGGGCCAGCTGCTTCTCACATCACCGAGGTTATTAGAAAATAAAGATAATATAGAAATGAGCTAAGTGCAACTGTTTCATCTTTCAGTGAAAAAGTATTTAACTTTCCACCACTTCTAAAAAGCGCTGGCTCTCAATGGTGACTTTACACTTCTTTGCTGTGGCCATGTCTGCTACTTAGTAGGGATGTAACGATACAATGATCAGGATCCATTTGATTCAGGGATCATCTATATGGTATCATCGATGCAAAGTGAAAACAGCAATTACATATCGTCATCTTTAAGACAAGTCTAAATTTTGATATTCTCATGGTACATCTGTGTCACCATTTCCATCCAAGCACCCTTCCTTCCCAAACATTCAAACTGTGCTAGCAGCCTTGCACCAGGCAGACAATGGTAAGCAGCCAAGATAAAGATAAGGAGGATATTTACTGATATCGTCTCATATCCATCACAGGCCCCTGAGCTGAAAATCGTATTGTGGCAGACTTTGTGATATCAGCAAATATTGTATTGTTGTCCAAAGAATCGATAAAATATTGTACTGTGGCTAAACTTGTGATTTACACCCCTATTACCAAGCAGTATATGTCTGCTGTTAGGTAACCATTTGTTAGCATGTGTACCATATGTGTATAAAAACACATTAATTTCCCCTTCAAAGTTCCTGCTTGGTGCATGTCTACAAACTGTATAATAGTCCTGCCTTCGTGTGGTGAACAAAACAAATGCCAAGTGAACTTGCTTGCCAATATTGTGCAGCGGGTCACATAAAGTATATTTTTAAAATCAAGCTGCGGGCTGTTTAATTAAAATCGGTCCACAGGCCACGGACAGGACTATCGACATGCCTGACAGAGTATATACATAAGAGACAAAAACAAGTTCCATGCTCATCATTCACAAAACAAAAAGACAAAAACAACAAAAACATTGAGCTTATTAAGATTACTGAACATTCAATCTACGATAGTAAAGACTAGCTACTCACAACCAAAACGTGCCAAGGGGAAACAAAATCATCTAAAATTCCTTGCAAAACATCGGATTACTGTTATAGGGATAAAATAATAATTAAATAAACCTTGATGAAGTGGGTATACATCAAGCCAAACATGGAACAGGGATGAAAGGCATGCAGCATGATTCCAAGCAACTTTGCATTTTGACCAGCACCAAGAATAAGTTGTTTTGGATCTCCAGATAATCAAATCTTTCAGAGGCTAAAAGTGCATTAAGTCAAACAAATTACTGATAAATCAAGTCACAACAAGCAGCGAATCAGAGTGCTTGGGTTAAATTTGGAATTTGATATGTAAAGCCTTGAACTTTCCCTTTGATTCATGTGGAAACTTCATGTATTCTCATAATTTTCTTAACATATACAGAGTTTTAGGTAGATTTAAAACAGCTAGTGTACGACTGGTTGATCAGTAGGTGACAACTGATCTAAAAAGCTGTGGCTTAAAAGCTAGTCATTCCTTTAAAAATACAGCATCACATATACAGGGGAGCGCTGCTTGTGTTGTATGTAAATGTACACATAGATGATAGAAAGCAGACATTCTGGCCTAATCTACAATATGTATACAGTTTCTTCCATCATTTGCATTTATTGTACAGTTCCAAGGAGCTGCAGATGGATGTCATCTGTGCTTGTGTGTTCTGCATAGTGGCCAGTCCAGAAGTATTGTGCTGCATGTGTGCTTTACATACTGATGAGTCATGATTTACAGCAGCGACATTTAAATGAAGCTGGAGGACGGTCACCATTAACATTCACCTTGGCTGGGATGATGTCATTCTGGTTTGCACTCATGAGGATTTGTTGTGTTTGCATACTGCCAGTTATAAGTTTTCATAGGTTCTGGGAACTTAGCAGACCGCCTGAGGTTATCAAATTGAGAGACAAAAGTTGTAGATTTTTTGTGTTTTATTGTCATTTAAGAACCAAGGTTTCCTGCAATGCAAACAATACATAAACCAAAAACTATGTTGCCAGTGGTCAGCATGCTCGGCACACAATGCACCTGACCTCAATGCCTGTACCTGCAAGTGGATAGCCCACAGCCGAGCCCCATGGGTCAAGGCCCAACTACCAGAGACTCGCTGGCGAGCTCCCCTCCAGGATCTGGCTCCAGAAGGGGGACACATTTTCCCCTTTTCTGGGCTACACCTCTTTTCTTGCCAAGTCTGGCCCCTCCCCTGGGACCATTTTGCCTTGGGAGACCCTACCAGGAGCTACTGTCCCCGACAACACAGCTCCCAGGATCACAGGGACACACAGGCCTCAAGGTGGTGATTCTTGAAGCGGCTGACCTGGGAATGGCTCGGGGTCCTTCAGGAGGAGCTGCATAGTATGGTGGGGAGAGGGATGTTTGGAATGCCTCACTCAGCCTGCTAAACCCACAGCCCTGGACAAGAGGAAGATAGTGGATGAACAGATGGATAGAAGTGCTAATCAACTAATTAAAACAATCACAGGTTGAACTGAATTGCAATTCATAATGAGCTTACAACAGACTAAAAAGATGACACAAACAGAACATACTTACATTCTCAGGAACACATGGCACTGATGTTAGATGGGGAGCAGAGAGATCTACAGATCTGACTTTGGGCCTTATATAGTGGCTTGAAGCACACCTGTCTGCAATTGGTCATCAAGCAGGGGAATGATTGGATTCAGATGTTGTGAGTGTTCTGTCCACCAGGGGCCGCCATTTAGAGGGCACAGGAGAATTCACAGCACAGTGCTTTACTGAAAACTATTCCAGGAACTTTGAGAAGGCAGATTAAGTCTGCTTTGACATAAAATGTTTCACTTCCAGTGTTCACAGTGTTATGTTTTGGGGTTTTTTTCAATTGGAGACAGTGCCGTTACCATGGCAAATTACAGTGTGAGTCCGTCATTTGAGGTCTGCATGATAACCAAGGCTGTGTGTGTTGCAGGAGTCTGCGTGCAGACGGAGTGTGTGAGAGTGTGTTGTATGGCCTGCCGCTGGTGATCCGCCCAACCACCTGCTGGCAGCTGGACTGGGATGAAATGGAGAGCAACCACAACTTGTTCCACGCTCTCGGCCACACACTCAGGGTGTGTGAATGTGTTCGCTGTTCATTCATCTTTTGACAATTTTCTTTACAAGAAAGAAACCATGTTCCCTTTTACCTTTTAACAAAATAATCTGAATCTTAACATTCTCTGCACTCCTCTGTGCAATGCCAATAAATGAAAGTGTTTGATGTCACATTTGTTTTTCCCTCTTTCAGAGTCGTGACTTGTTCCTGCTGCTGCAGGTGGAGCCCGCGCAGAGGTCCACAGCGGGAGGCCCAGGTCCATATGTGTGTGTTGGTGTGTGTGAGAGAAAGAGAGAGAGAGTCATATTGTGGATTGATCGGTCCTTGTGAGTGCACTCATATGCCCTGCGTGTGTGCTTGTGTACAACACAGGTGTGTATTCTCACTACATCCTCCAGCCGTCCCTGTCTCTGTCCCTCCTGCTGAAGCCTGTGGTCTCCAGAGAGCTGCTGCTGCCCTGCTCTCTACCTGTCTCCACTCAGGAACCTGCACCTGATGCCATGCACACTATACAGGTCAGGTGACCTTTGTTCATTGTAAACTAATTACAGAAGTAGACAGAAGCATCCAGAGCTCCAAAAATAGATAGATTTTTGTCACCAGTGTGTTTATTGATATCGGGCATTGAATATGTAGCTAACACTCATCTAGAAATATATACTGTATACTGTATGTGCATGGGCCACTGTTAGGTACACCTTGCTTGTACGAGTTTGAACCCCTTTTGCCTTCAGAACTGCCTTCATACATTGTGGCAAAGTGTTGGAAACATTCCTCAGAGATTTTGCTGCAGATTTTTCAGCTGCACACACACAAGGCGAATCTCCTCTTTCACAACATCCCAGATATGCTCTATTGGATTGAGATCTGGTGACTGTGGAGGCCATTGGAGTACAGTGAACTCATTGTCATGTTAAAACAACAGAGATGATTTGTGCTCTGTGACATGGCGTGCTACGCTGCAAGATGGGCACAGTGTGGTCATAGAGGGACAGACATTGTCAGCAAGAATACTCAGGTTGGCTGTGGTGTTTAAAAGATGCTCAGGTGATACTAAGGGGCCCAAAGTGTACCAAGAAAATATCCCTCAGACCAATATACTACCACCAACAGCCTGATATGTTGATACAAGGCAGGATGGATCCATACTTTGATGTTGTTTACACCAAATCCTGACCCTACAATCTGAATGTTGCAGCAGAAATCGAGACTCATCAGATAAGATAACTTTTTCAGATCTGCTATTGCCCAATTTTGGGCGGCTATACAAATTAGTAGATATAAATTGTGATAGAAGACATTAATTATGGTTATCGTGGGTAGAAGCACTTCTGATTTTGTTTTTTGGGCAATCATTTTAAGTTTTAATTTCATTTTTAGAATGAAACAGTTGTCATCATATTGTTGTGTGTGTTTATTTTGGACAGGATATAGCCTTGTATGTGTGTAACTCCTCCAGTTAGTTTATTTGCATGTTAGCAAAGTGTAAACAGCGTGTACATGTTCTCAAAGCTGACAAACAGATGTTCAGATATGCATATGATACTGGAATGATGTTTGTTTTCTCTCAGGGTTGTCTCGCTCAGCTGGATGAGGAGTGTGTGTTCAACCCTCTGTCTCTGAGCAGTAACCTGTACCAGCACCTCAGGAGCAGAGGCCTGCTCTCACAGCCACGATACCCATACAGGTCAGAGGGGGGTTGATGCGATGATGCAAATAAATCTGTGTGGCCCTTGTGATAATGTCAAAACAGTGGGATAATTTGGATGTAATGGAGATCAAAGATGATGTGATATTGATGGTGATGGTTGTTGATTGCAGGCTGCAGCCAGCAGCCGCCCACAGAGACCAGTCTCAACCACTAGAGGGCCCTAAAGCTACAGGCAACAGACAGCAGCGGCAGGTAAACGCAGCAGCTTTATGGCAGTGTAAAGGTCATGATGCTGCTCATAAAGATGAGCACAATGATTATTACATGAGCAAAGGTGATAACACGAGTCAGGAGCAGTTTGACAGCACAAAGCAGGAGTAATATTTTTTATACACACCATTAAGTTTGTGTGCATGGAGTGTGTGCTTTAATAATGCAACTTCCTCCTCACCTCTCACTTCCCTATTTACTCAACAGATGGCAGCACTGACCCTATGCAGTTTAGTGTGTATATACACAGAGCAAGCATGAAACAGCCTTTTATGTAATATGTAGCAGAAGTCCTGCATAAACAATCATACTTAAACAATTGTCATAAGTATCATCAGCTTAACTTACTGAACCTATTAGAAGTAAACATAGTCTCGTTGCAGAAATGTGACTGTTAAGTTGTAATACATTATATTATTAATACAGTTGCACCAGTGTGTACGCAGCAGTATTTCACTGTTGTGGCAGGTCGAGGTGGAGCTAGCTTTAATTACTTCATATACAGTTTGGTCCATTGCTTTCTGACCAAGGATCGCCAGATAAACCTGGGAGGTCGTGACATGATTTATGGGAAAGTTTTTTGAAATACTGAATCATTTGTGCAGTTATTTAAATGAAACCATGTGAGAAGTTTAGAGGGGAAATGGCTCTTTGGGGGAACTGCGACTCATATACATCTGACACATGACAAGATTCCTCTCACCAATTTTTATACAAGAGATCACAAGCCGAAAAGAACCAGTGGTTTATCTTTAACAATGTTTTGTATTTCATAAACTCACCAAGTTTTCATGTAGACATCTACATCTAAATTGTAGTGCGGTAGTACCATAAAATAGCAGCGTGTGTAACGTGCCAGTACTTTTAAAAATTCACATAAGTACAGTACTTAAAATATGAATATACACTTATTGTCTATATAAAAGGATGCACATGGGCCTAAAACTAAAACTTTAATACATGAAGAGAATGGGTTATCTCAGTGTGTTTTAAAACAGACTCCGATTATGCTGTGAATCTTTCTTTTTTATTTTTCATAATGAGTTCCAAAGACTGATAAAACTATCTGACATGCCAGTACTCTGTGATCTTCTACACCATTTTTAAAGATAACATAGTTAATGTGCAAGGGTTTTATGTCACAAAATAGAGGTTTAGATGCATTTGTATTTGTTACATGATACATTAGCAAAATTCTCAATCTGGTAACAATTCAGCTACTGGGAAATAACTCATAATATACAGAAATTTCACACCGATTATAGTAGGTGTCATTTTTACAGACACGTGTAAAGATCTTAACTTTTCATCCTTCCACGTTCCATCCACTGAGGCCCACTGTGACCTGAGAGTGTGTAGCTGTTGGCAGTGTGACTCATCAGGCTCGATAAGGCTGCTGACATGCAAATAGTTCACTACAGCGGCAAAGCACAGAGAAAATGTTCATCCGCTCTGCTCTGGTTTTGTCCTATTCTTTGGCACGCTCTCTTTTTATTCACTACAGCGGAACATAACCCTTAACTTTCCCCGTGATGTTTGTATCTCTTAATGTCTTCCTCCTCTCTTCTATTCCTCTGAAATTCTTTTGTTCCACCTTCTCCAGAGCCTCCTTCTCTTCCTCTCATTTATCTCACTCTTTGTTTTCCTGCCTTTCTTATTTGATCAAAGTTGAATATCACTTTAAGCAGCATTGAATAAGTGTTTTTCAAGGCTTAAACTTGAAATAAAAAGCCTGTGTGTTGTCTCCACTCAGCCACAAAACCAGGGTCGCCAAGTGGGAATGAACAGCAAGGTCAGGGCCACTGTGGCTCCTCTGCCCTCGTCCTCCTCCCACTCCTCCTTCCTGGGACCTCCTCCTGCTAAGGCCTCTCGTCCAGCTCTGAAGCTCCTTAGCAGCAGTGGGAGAGGAAGCCGTCAGGCCCCAGCCCCTACTCAACAGGAGGAAGACAAAGATGATGATGACTCCATGGTAATACAGTAAGAAAGTGGCTGACGGAGCAACACAGTGAAAGGGAGATAAGAGTGTGAGAGAGAAGGGGTAGTGCGTCCTCAACAAGTCATTGACCACATGCACTTTAATAACCTTCAGCATCCTGACCTGCCACTTCAAAGGGCTTTCCAGTGAACTGCAGCTTAGTCACACGCACATTTGGCTAATCGGCCCCCATTGTAAAGTTTGTGAGTAATCAGGCAGCTCGTAAAGGCTTTAAAGACTTTGTAAAGGAGGGAAAGACACTCTGATTTGCACATAAACTCGCACGGTCTCACACTGCGAACACACACATTGCTCTGCACTGCACTCTGGGGGGGTTACAGCTTCTTTTGATACTTCAATTCATCTCTATTTATTGTCACCACATGAACAGTGTTAGCCAGATCTGAATTTAGCACGTCTGTGTGTGTGTGTGTGTGTGTGTGTGTGTGTGTGTGTGTGCATGTGTGAAAGGAAAGTTTCGACTCGCTGCCATCTTTAGATTGCTGAGGCAGCGAAAACTTCCAAATCACACACCGTGAACAATGAAAAAGCAGGAGAAAAGATGAAAAGAAGGGAAACAGCGGGACAATGGAGGCCTGGAAAGAGTCAAAAAATGGAGGGAAGGAACAGAAAGCCATAAGTAATGATAAAAAAAGAACAAAAGGTGGGTGGTGTGGGAGATCAGAGGGGGATTAAAGGATACATAGGAAGTCTTTTCTCCACGTTACAGCACACCCACTACCACACAGCAGCGTAAAAAAAATCTAGACAGGCAGAAAGCGGTTACAAAATTATGGCTCAGGCACAATAAAGCAGACATACTGCAGCTATAGTGCCATAGTGCGTAGTGACTTATAGACAAACACACATATGCGCATTCCATTTCCATTTTGCCCTTAAGCCGCGGTCTGAACACAGCTTCACTGTTTTAATGAGACAGTGAATAAAGCAGCAGACAGAGGGGCCTCTCTGCTCTCCTTCACCCCCATAGCCAGCTTGCTCTCTGGGGGTTGAAAGGCAGCGTGAAGGGGGTGGATGGAAGGAGAACAGAGACGACAGAGAACGTATAAAAAAATGGCAGTATGTCTTTTAAGGTTGACACCAAAGGTTTGCATTGAAGAGCAATTTCCATTCTGTGTTTGAGATTTGGAGAGGAAGTGAATGGCGTTCATGCAGTGACATCACAGGCTGATTTCTGCACAATATTACATTCACACATTTAATCATTGAGTCATGCTCATGCGCGCATCCATCGTCACTAATATTAATTTATTCCTTGTCAAGCAGCCTTGTCAGCCATGCATATTCACACACAGGCTTAATCAGTCTCCCGCCATTCCACCCCCTTGCTGAACCTTATAACATTAGGGACTACCCAGTGGCAAATGACTTCATGGCGTTGTGATGTCATAGGACTTCCGCATTCACGGATTACATCCACAACGATCCTTTTGTCTCAGAAGAGAATTTGACCGGACCTCCAAAACTGCCCGCTGACATTTTACCCACTTCTCTCTCACCATCTCCGTCCTTTCCCTTTCTCTCTCTCTCTCTCTCTCTCTCTCTCTCTCTCTCTCAGTACTTTCTTCTTCATCACCACAAGCTCGGAGAGTCACCGTGTTCATAAATTTGTTCAGATAGAACAACAGCAGACTCTCTGTCCCCAAAAGGTCAAAAGGCCGAAGCCAAAGTTCCTCCTTTATAACCCAGCAGGCGACATCAGCCACACTCTTCATTAAATGTCACCAGATTAATGGGGCCCAAGCGACAGTTAACAAAAGTGTCCTTATCTGCTTTTGCAAATTCATTCAGAGTTGAATTTAACAGAGGAGATTTTTTGGCACGTTCTTGACCCATAGCAGTTGTTTTTTTCCAAGAAAGTTCTTTGTTTATTGTTGTTTTTTACGACTTCACCACACAAACACTGTTCTCTCATTGTGTTCCTGTTCCTGTTCAGCTTTCGTGCTGTGTGTGATGACTACTGTCAAGCAGATTTTTGTGTGAGCTGCAAAGGAAATTAATTGATGTCCTTTGTTCACTCTGTAAATTCCTATCAATTGTGTCATTTCAGGAGCTTGTGATTTCTACATATTTATGAATATATTTATTGACCCGCTCTCAGATTTGTATTTTAACACTGCATGGACTGTGGGTTAATAAATTGTCTATAAGTAACATTTTGGTGGGAGGATTATTTTAGCTTTGCACAGAGAGCATCTAACCACTTTCAACCTTTAACACCCACAGGTTAATCTATAGGATGCTTGCACTATGTAGAAAAAAAGACAGATAGTGCTATGAGAAAGTACATGAATATGAACATTTAATATGTATTGATAGGTCAGACTCTCATCTATGCTGTCAATGTGGGAACTTTTAAAAAACAATGGCCTGTAGTAAGAAATAATCTAGACATAATGCGTGACAGAGTATACAGCTGGCACTGAACCCCCAACTGCTTAGGGCACCTGTCCATGTGCAGCCCCCTCGCTCTGACATCTCTCCATTTAATGCATGTATAGGTCCTGTTTGTGCATGTGTGTGTATTGTGGGCCTGTGTGTAGCTGACAGCAGTGAAAAAAAAAAGAATTTCCCCTTGGGGGTTAACAAAATACATCTTCTTCTTAACTTTACGCCCAAATTCATTGCAGAGATCTTGCGATCAAACAAAGGCTGTGTATGTATGTAGGCTAACCATATAGAACTTATACCGTAAAGCACTTTTTAACCCAAAAATCTGATGGGTTGATGTCAGGAAACTGCACATATTCAATTTATGAACCGTTAATAAATCACCCTAAATTTAAAGTGGTTTCAGTGGGAGGTTTGTTATGATTACTGTCTAACCACCTCTGACCTTTTACCACCCACTGTTCCACCCGCAGCACACTATAGTACCATATACAGCTTTCTCTGACTGCTACTATGAAAAGTGCAATGAACATGTATGGTCTCTTTTTTGAAGGGCGACCTATTTGTGGCCTGTTGCAGGCTGAATGTGGCAGCTAGATTGAGTCTCTATAAACAGTGAGTTTGTGCCCAGCTTTCCTGATGAGTCTCAGTCTCTTACCCAAAGCTTAGATATAGTTCCATGCTGCAGAACCAGTCATTGTTTTACAAGTCAAAAGTCCCAAGTCATCTCCCAAGTCTTTACTAAATGTAATGCCAGTGTTATATTTACAAAAATCATAAATACTTTTAGAAATTTGCATTTCTTTGTTACATTTTTTTAAAACTTCCTCTCGCTGTTAGGCAAACATAAGTAAACATTAGCTCGCTAACCATTTTAATATTAGCCTCAACTTACTGCCATGCCAAATGTCAAACAAAGGTGGAAGTTGTTGCGTCTCCATCTGTAATTTTCAACCCACGTTTTGCATACTGTAATTTTCTTTTGTTGACCACCACATAGTTATTACATAAATAAAATTACTTGTGACATAATTTTTTCCAGCTGGCGCTCAGTAACTTAACATTAGGTCTCTCCTATAACATCACCGGATGCTGTTGGATTGGTTTAAACAAAGTGGATTGTCTGGGGTATTAAGTGTCAACTTGCTGGGAAAGAATAGTATTCATGTTAGATGCTTCAGGAAATAAATTGATTCAACCCACACTTTATAAATAACATAAGTTTCAATCTTTGGGCTTTGGGGAAGTATTTTCAAGTCCAAGTGAACTCACAAGTCATTGGTGTTTAAGTCCAAGTTGAGTTGCAAATCCTTTTTGATTTTGTTGAGTCTCTGTTGTCCTGTATTGACATATACAATGTGGCTAAGTCATGATGGCAGAAATTGTCATGCAAGTTAGCTTGAGAAAATGTTATAATGTTATATAAAATAATTGGAGCTTAATGAGTCATAACCTCTTCAATATATCTATATTTGGTGTGCAATCACAAAACTATGGTTGCTGATTTTGTCTCCTACTTTCTGGGTTTTGATTCATCATTTCCTGAGGGTGGAGAGGCGACCTTTGGCTGCACCATTTTGTCTCATTTTGCAGACACTGAATACACATCTGTGAGTCAGGACACTCTTCTGTTATGGTCCAACTTTGGCTAATAAGTTCAGAATTTTTGTGGATAGATTTCTTGGCTTCCTGTTTCTTGAAACGTGTAGCATTTGGTGCAGTTCACCACAATATTTTTGCCATTTCAGAAAGTTTTTTGCATTTCTTCCATTCTGAGCTTAAAAACAAAAACTTGTGTGGTCTGCCTGACTCAAAGTGCAATGGCATTTCTTCATTGTCTCATCAGCTTTTATATCTGAGTCAGGATATTAGTGCTGTGACTTCCTGCTTTATTCTCAATAAACCATTTCCTTCTTCACTGCAATCTGCAGAAGAGACGAAAACTCTGTGAGACTTTGTATCTGTCTCACAGACTGTAATACACTGTCTCTTTCCTGTAATTGTCCTCACTGGCCAACAAAGACGGCGCAGGCCTCTAATATACATGCAGACAGACACACACAGGAGTCGCAACTCATATACAGGTTACAGGCGGAGAATAATCAGCTCTCTCACAAGCAGAGCTGAGTGAGAACAGAAAGAGGAAGTGCATCTTCGTGAGGAAGTGAGGAGGTGAAGTCAGGACCTGAACTATAATCCTATCGACAGAAATCTAAAAGTTCCGAAAGTCCTGCTCCTACGCAGGTCTAGAAAAGTCCGGAAATGTGATTTGCTGATTGGCATGCCTCTAAGACAAACTCATGAACACAAATCATTGGCTTCAATCACCAATTCAGGTCAAAAAAATGAGGCGCTTAAAAAGTATGTAAATATGAACTTAGTTTGGTCTAAGAAAAGTGTTTTTGTGCATTTTTTGCAGAGCAATTATTGGTTTATCAGGGTCATAAGGTCACTGGCACGTGCTTAAAAAAATCACTTCATTGTCACACTTCACCTCATGTACATATTCAGCTCAGTTTTGCATCCCTTGTATTTTCTGGACTACGTATCGACCGACTGAATGAGAAACCGTCATTTCCTTTAGATAGCGCTGA